AGGTTAAAATTTTCTAAATACATGAGGTTTTAGATGCAGCAAAATGGTTGACATAACGAAGAACGGTTATACCAGAACGAAACGTTGGACTCTGTTGCAGAAAGAGAAGAATTTCAAGGGATGCAGACACCTCGTACTTCTCTACATGGTCTTCTATTACACCTAAGGCTAAACTAGTACTTGAAAATCTTCAATGTAAACCTACGACTTCCACTCCTGCATGCATCCAAGCGCTGGAATACCATGAAATTGTCGAACCACGTCAGATTTCCAACTCTACTATGTTTTTCAAAAGTAGAACAGTTCCTTCATTCACGGCATAGTGTTTCCAATTCCTAAGTTGTGTGAATCTTGGCTAAAAGTTAATAAAGCTGAGGTTGGACTAAAAGTCGGCGACTAAGGCTGTGGGAGGGTAATGGAAATGCCGCGACCATGATAGGGATGGTAGTAACACGCAGATCACAATATTCAACTGTCTCGCCGAGGTTGGATGCATAGTATGACTATTTAGTCTTGACGATTTTGGTCCCGAACTAATAATTTTAGCACCACGATTTTCTGTCATTCACTCACCTACTTACCTCATCTGAGGCCGGTTACCGATGCGGACACTGACCCAAGCATAACGCCTTCCTGCTGCTAGTGCAAGAGAAGGTACATAATTGTCAGCCGTTTTATTGTCATGCTAGCATGTCTACCTATGACCATAGGTTTAGTCTTCGTTGAAGGTGAAAATCAATCCTCGTACATTACTTAGCATCCCTCATGGGTCTGAAGTTTGGTTGTAGGTGTTAAATCAGTGGTACTCCGGGTGCATTTGCCTTCCACTTTAGACCTTCGCGTCATGGATGGACGTGGTTCCACCCTACAAGCAAGAGGCACCAAAAACTCCACCTCACGTGATCCTGCACTATGTTGCCTTCAAAACCGCCTGGGATTGGATGATTCTCTTTCTCACAGGCTACACTGCTGTAATGGTCCCATTTAATGCGGCCTTTCGCAGCAAAACCATCGATGATGTCATCTTCCTCGTCATTGACAGCATCGTGGACGTCATCTTCTTTATAGATATTGTATTGAACTTCCATACAACATTCGTAGGGCCTCAGGGCGAGGTGATCTCCGACGCCACTGTTATTCGCATCAACTACCTCAAGGGTTGGTTCATCGTTGATCTTCTTTCCTGTCTCCCCTACGATGTGTTCAATGCTTTTCAACCGGAAGCTACTCAGGTTACTCTCCTTTTACCGAATATCTTTCTTTTCTGCAAATTTGACTTTTTTCATTTTTACATTGAATTAGTTGAAGTGCGGCAAGTTGTAATAAAATATAATATTGTATAAATTTGAGGTTATGAGAACACACATCATTTGTTTATGGCAGTAAAATGTACTTACTTATGAAAGCCATGCATCAAAAGTCGTAGCACTCCTTTTCTCTCCGCTGCACATGCGTAGCGTAACGTCTTAACAAACCACAACGCCTCTAACAGGTGATGTGCGCCAAATAGTAAGTATTCAAGCAATACTATCTTTTTCTGTGTGTTTTGGTACGGGGATTTTGCGGAGACAGTTAAAGTAACAGTAAAATTCATTCCAACGGGATCTCGTCTGGGAAGTAAAGCGACTGAAAGATTGAGGTGGTCAATCCTCCTTTGAAACTCCTCATATCGAGCGTCGACCAGTATTTTTTTTTTTATTAAGAAAATCATAGATTTTTTCCTTCTTATATGGGGTTGCATGTTGTCTACTTCGTTACTTCACTGATGATTATCCACTATCTTGAGTCCGTTTGTGTTGACTGTCAAAGAGTGCAACAAACTTCTGGAGATAAACACAGCCATTCTGTGATCGCTACTTTTTTGTCTTCTCAATTTGGGCACTGTCAGATTTTTGATGGTAATGGTAAGTGGTGATAAGTTGCAGTAGGTAACAAAACAAATAGATTGCGATAACGCTTCTGATCTCCCTTTCGCTTTCATTTCAGAGTACCATAAGCTCGCTGTTCAGCGCATTGAAGGTAGTTCGTCTGCTACGAATTGGCCGAGTTACAAGGAAATTGGACCAATACCTCGAGTACATGGCGGCTAGTCTCTTTCTCATGATATTTGGCTTCGTACTCCTTGCTCACTGGTTGGCCTGCATTTGGTACAGCATCGGCATGTCCGATCTTGAGAACTTCATCCACTACGGCTGGATACCCCGTCTCTCCAGTGATATTGGCCTTACCAGTAAAAACTACAGCCTTTTTGATGCCAAGGTATAGCACTCAGAACTGACTTTTTTACTCTCTATTTGTCATTTTATGAGTACGTCCAAATATTGCTCCATCATGTGCAAAAATGAAGATGGAAATGTTCTCATGCTTAAGGGAATATCTGAATAAGCAGTTTGAGCAAGGTAAGCTAAATGCTTAAAGGCTCGAGAAGTTCGTTCTCTATCGTTGGTCCAAAGTGTTCCTGTCGTCAAGTTTATTCAACAGACTTGCAGTGACATTTACAACCGGATATAGGAAGCATGAACAAAAGGTTCAGTGGTTTCAAGAAGTACCATATTAAACTAACTATCAATCCAATGTACTTCAGCACTTTTAAACAGATATCCAATTATAAAGGCAAATCGTATTTCAGTTTCAACTCCCTCTACCTTTTTGAATCTAAATTGATTTTACTTTCTTGAAGTGACCTGTTCTCAAGACAGTTTCACCTGTTTTGTGCATTGTCTGCACCGCATTCACCGAATCGCACTGACACGATAGGAGCTAGAATTAGCCAATTTTAGGATCCACCCATGTGATGCAAGCGAATGCGGCCAGATCAAAGCATTTTCTCATTCATTGTGTGCGTGTGTGCGAAAAATTGCAGCCTCTTTTACGCTTCTGCGTCATCAAGCCTGTCTGAATTATGCAGTATAATGGCAAGTAATTGCAATGTCAACGCGCTACCGTTATCAATAGGTCCCATTGGAAAAACAATACTTTGTCCCCGAAAAGGACGTCAGATTACAGTCAAGATTGCATCTTACGGGAAAAAAATTGCTTGAGCATGCCTATTTAACCCTTGCCGTATTACGTTGGAATTTAAATTTGCTTAGTAACTGCCGCAGGCTTGCCTCGTGCAAGAAGGTTGGCGTGGCCACGAGCAACGCCCATCTCCTACGCGTACGATTACCTGTGCGTTGTCATCCATTTGAGTCACAATTGCGGTTGCTTTTACGTGCATAACCCGCCCACAATGAGCGACGTAAAGTAGGACCAACTTGAGCAGGCCTGCGAGCTTGCGTCCTTATTCCACCTTGCTTGCCTCATGGGTAATGTAGAGGAAGGGTCAACGTAAAATGTCGCCTCCCAGTGGTGTGATAAAACGGCCCTTTTGGGAATGGAATGACCCACGACTTAAGGCGTCTCTCAGTCAAGAGAAAACCTTTTACACTTTTCCCTGTTATTAGGTGTTCGGAATGGTAGCATATAAACTGTTATGGGATTGCCTACTGTGATGATAGGTACTAAAGGGGGATAAAGTAAAATTCACGCATGCAACTTGAGAGTTACGTGCGGCCAAACCATCCTAAAGTGTCTCTTTAAGGGGGACGCGAAGTGGAGATTTGAAACAGCCAACCATGAATACTCAAGATCCCGTCTGAGTGGCGATGCATTAGCTTCGTGAAATCTTCGGGTTCGAATAAAATTAGGCAAAAGAGGTAATAAGATTTTTATATTATGGGAAAAAGGAAGTATTTTTAAATTATTGTAGTTTTTGGCGAATGGTTGTGCGCTTCCTTGATGCTAAAATAATTTTTCTGTCTTCTTTCAAAAGAACATCTCAGTGTCAAGATCCATGACCTACATCACGGCCTTGTACTACACCCTTTCGTTAATTACCAGCATTGGATTCGGAAATGTTTCTGCAAACACTTTCGGAGAGAAGATAGTTTCCGTTATTTTTATGCTTATTGGCGGTAAGTTTGGGCTACTGGTGCCCCTACAGTCCTTCTTTTTACGTCACCACGCTTAGTATCCATAAGCTATTCGCTTAACTGCTTACTCATGTATGAACAGATCGAACGCCATCTAAATGTCACTTTTACCAAACGGACGTCAATTTCGCAGTACGGTTACCAATTGATGTCACCAGGACTACCTAAATGGTGGAAACATCCGTTCAACTCAGTCATAAGTCATCACGAACAAATGAGGCTTAAACCAGTCATTGAAAGCTGTATTTCATCATCCAATTTACTGACCCATTCATTGTTTTTCTCCTCCAGCATTTAGCTACGCCACTATTTTCGGTCAGATTACAACAATATTTCAGGGAATGTACGCAGCCCGTTCAAGATACCACGATATGATGGGATCGGTGAAAGACTTCGTGAAGACACACAATGTGCCGCAGGACCTGGCAGAACGGGTCATTGACTACGTTACATCAACTTGGGCCATCACAAAAGGCATTGATACTGCTAAGGTAGGGATAAAATCGTGAATTCGCAAAACTAATTTATGTGGTTCAGGGCTGTTTAGGGAGTTAACTCCCTTTAGAATAATGAAACAATGCTATATTTACTGAACTTTGATCCTCTAGACGTCGAGCTTTTGCTGAATGTGAGGAGAAAATAGCTGTTATAACTGACTTCTTTGTCTGCAAATATCATCCATTGCACGGTCTCTTTGTAGCCGTGTTCTTTAGCCCATTTTCACTATTATGGAGTCAGCTTCATTGCAATTTCATCACTCTGGTGGCATGCGGCGAGACGTACATTTTTTACCTCTTGGTAATAGTTTTTTTGAATCGGAAGAATTACAATGGAATTGCATTTTCCGAATTTCAATATTTATCCTTTTCACTTCGAATGCATCAGTTCGTCAGAGCCTCGAATCGCATTTCGCGTCTGGAGAAAAGGAGGGCGCCTCCGAGTGACCACTGTGTGGTACCTTCCATGAATAACATGCGATGAACTGAAGCGAAGGCCGTCCGGGCTAATTTTGCGGTGCATCACTTTGGGCTAACACCTGCTTAATTTTGCACTCAGATCGATGCAGATTATTTTTGCGCCAGAGGTTTTACAGGTTCCCTCACTCAGAAAAAGTACAAATGTGGTGGCTTTGGCATCTGTGAATGAGCGTCATTCTCTTATACCGTTCGGTGCTGCAATGAAAGTATATGCGGAACAATCGCACCTTCCCTAACAATTCCGCTAAATCTAGAGTTTTTTTTCCTTATTTAAGAGTTGTGTCACGAGGAAAGGAAAGTGCGCAAACTACATCGCATGTTCATAGCCATCGCAAAGAATACCGACTCAAAAACAGTGAGAAATGACAAACGACGAGGTTTAGGTGTAGTCTGATGAAATTAAGATTTTGAATACATTTCTCGCCAAAATTTTTCTCCTCCTTTTTAATGCTTAGTTATGCCTGTCTAGCATGGCTATATTTAACGTAGTGAAGAGGCAAAAGCTTCACATGCTTACATGGGTGACATCTTTACGTACACCATGATGTGAGCGCTGACGACCAGTCGCACTTTATTTTTAAGAAAGTATCTTGCGGAGCCCAGGTTTGAGATTGGTTCCACTATTCCATCCTTTGCATAGGTTTTTCTGCCATGTAAATTCCAAGTATTTAGGAGTGGAAATGCAGCGCCTCTAGGCTTTTCTGAAGTTGGAAGGGACGTAGCGCTGGGACAGAAGACGTTTTGCTGAAGTGGGAACAGATGGAGGGCTACTGGCATGATATTCAGTGAGAATGCAAGGGTGAGCTTTCAGTGTCCTCAGATTCAAGCATTGCGTGATACAGGTCAAATTTAAAATTACCCGATTTTCGAGGCACTATGCAATACGACTTACCATGGTATCGCTTTTAAAGCATTATGGATCGGGCGATTTGGATGGTGAAGAAGTTGCTTAGAGCAAGCCAGTCCACCACTTCATGCGACCCGTAAAGGAAATGCCAAACACCCACGCATTCTGGTATTCAGTGCAGTTTGGTCCCACTCTTGTTGGGACTCCCATACTCACGACACTTCGTGAAACATTTGAAGTTTAAATTAGTTACTGCATTTTCAATGTCCTTTTGATGTTGATATGTCAACTTTAATTCCCATGATTCCATATGTTTCATCAAGCTACTCCCAGAAACCAGATTAAAAACCGCAATTTATTGCAATTTAAAAGTATCCTCTCAAACGCTTATGACAAAGAAAAGTGGTGGAGTTCACTTATTTATTCTTGCTGACAATCTTGAGACAATTTTGACTGCTCTAAAAATACCCTCTACTTTTAATGAATATAAAACGGGTAGTTTTTTACAGTCAAAACTGCCTCGATCACATCGTAATCGTCGTGTCTTGGCAGAACACTTGTATTTCCTTCAGAAATTGGTTTTTTTTTGCTTTTTGCTATCTACGAGGCACTTGGCATTCCGGTCTTCTGTTGGATGTGTGCGTGTGCAAATGCTTTGCCGCTGTTTCCCCGAGGTCTAATTGAAAGGTCTGCTCTTCCTCCTCCTCGCCGGCGGTGGTGATGTGATTCATATTGCAAACGTAGCAATTATACCTTTCTTTCATTATGAAATAATCGAGTAGAAAACCTGCTTGTGTTTAGTGGAAGAGGTGTTACGGCGGCTCGTGCAACCGGTACTTACGGAGGTACTGTTTAACGGCACATTTGAAGTGGCGAGGAAATATTTTTCGAGTTTTTGAAAGTGCAGTATTTTAGAGGCAACTAATCACATCCTAGTTATCTGATGTCTATTTTTAACCAAGAAGGCGCTTAAACAGTGACGATCTTGAGTTGAAATAAGAAGGGTAGCAAAACAGTACATGCTGTAATAAAATGCTGCTGATTTTATTTCCAATTTTATGCCTCCAAACTTTGTTAATTTCCGTAGAACATCTTGGAAGCCACATCTTTTGTATTATGGGGAGATCTGTTTTGAAAGTCGACATAATTCATAAAAATTCTCATGCTATCCTTCCTCCATGCATGCAATGGAAGGGTATACACGATGATATGCTGCCTTTCATAAAATCATTGAATATTTTGGCGCCGAAGCAGAATTTATTAGGTGTTTGAATCTACCACTAGATCATTACCGTCAATGAGCTTATGGAGCTGTTGAGATAATATCATTTTTTGACAACAGTGATGCTATGATACCAACCCGAAACCCATTGTCTCTTGCTTAGCACCGACCACTCACCAACTATGGTATTGCCTACTCAGAAATGTTCCCTAAGCAAGTGCTTGTACTTCCCTCGAAACGAGCGTAAATTTATGTTGCCTTTAGGCAGCAAAGATTCAACGTCTCTTTTGTTGCATGAATCTCACTCAGCCAACCGGTTATCTCAAAGGGATGAGAAGCGCATGCCACACACGTTTTTGGAGTCTAGCTCAGACGGGAAGATCTAGCTTTCGGGCATGGGTAATGTTGGCGGCGAACGTGTTATCTTGACTTACGAAATCTCAGTGTTGTGAGCCACCCAGAGGCAAAATTCTGGTTAGGGTTAGAAAGGATCGAATCGTCGCAGCGACGCGTACTGGGGGTGTTTGTGCGCCAGGTAGACTACACCAAAACCAACCTCTTTCAAAGAATACACTTTGTTAAGGCGGAAAAAAATTACAACCAAGAACAGCGATGCCTTGGTAACAGATGAATAAGCACTGTAGCAAATTCCTCGACTTGAACTTGAACCTCTTCCAAATACTTCGCACCAGGCTGCAGGGAAACGCAATGACGCCTTTAAGTTGCCTGTAATAGATTCAATTGACTTTGCAAAGTTGCTTTGAATGATAAAATCTGCCGATATTCTTAACCACCAAAGTAAACATAACCGGTTTAAGCTAGTGATCTGCCATCAGCAGCATGTGAATTGCAGAATTGGTTGCGTAAGAGTTTTAACTGCCAAAACTTAATTGGCACCGGAATTGGTTTCGAGCACAGAACTCTGTTGCAGCAGGATTCCTTTCCTCCAGAAGGAGCTGGGGAAGCGAACATTATAAATTCTACTAACCTTGTTGGGTTAGTAGCAGGCATCACCCGATCTGGTCCTTCTTAATTTCTATTTATTCGTCTTTTTACAACTCTGCTACCTCCACTAAGACTATAGAGCCTAAAAATAATTCAACGTTGCCGACAAGATCCTTGGTCAGTGTCAATCTTGAAGTTCATTCAGTATCATTTGAACCATTTTTATTATTAATGACAGTCGCTTTAAGATTGCTGCTTTCAGTAAGATGCTCAAAATAGGATAGGCAAGGTACTTGGAGAACCTGGCCGAAAATTTGTTGCTTGGATTATTGCCGTTGCTGCCACATCTGCGACATTATCAATTCGTTGTCCTTCAGATGCCCGTCTCACAATATGCCTAGTCCAAAGCCGCCCAGATTGTGGATAAGGTTTGTATGGCATCTTACTCACTCTTATAACTTTTGAACAAAGGGGCACTCTAGCTAACATTCTTGAAGTGCCGCTGGAATTCGTAAATAAGGGTATACAGTTGACTTGCCCGGAGCCTTAAGACAAGGAGTTGGATGCGTGTACTGTTTGCCTCCCCTTCTCGTCCTCAGCATTTTCTTTGCCACATACAATGGCAAAAGCAATATCAGCCTCAATGGAGTGTAAAAAGGGGGGCATACTTTTTGGAGATTAAAAATACATACCTGTCCTTCTTCATTATCTCTTATGCTGGTGCGCTCAGCCTCGCCCTGCCCTAGAACTATCAACCAGTCTAGGTGATCTGCAAATGGGAGAAGCCACAAAAATCTCATCGTCTGTAATGTAATGACGGCAGGTTATGCACTATTCGAAAGTTTAATCTGGTACAAAAGCTTCACGAGAATGAAAATGGAGGCTGCTAATAGTCATTTTAATCGAAAGAACCACAAAGAAGTTTATTACTGGTGCCGAAGTTTGTACCATTTTTTCATTTCAAAACTGCAAAATTTGTGGTGGTAATCTTCTCCGCTATTAGGCACGGCCTCAATTGTTTCGTTCAAAAAACACTTTTCAATAATGCTCTGTTTAATTACACATTCGCTGCTCCTAATACCGGCCTCCATGTTCAACTGATTCGCTGGGTGTGTGCGTGTGTGTCGAGGTATGGTGATGCGATGCATTCATCTCATACTTCTGCTTCCCTTTGCACACTGATAACATCAAAGTGTCCAGTCTGACTTAGGTACGGTTTAGGGTGTACACCGCAGGTGCAGCTTTTGTTGGTATGAAGCGTGGCGATGTCCAACTACTTGCGACTGAATAACCACTCGCTAAGAACACATACTTGCTCATCTCACTGCTGCAGCAACACATGAATGGGGTCGTGTGATGGGCAAAACTTGCCGGTGTTTTAAGTTAGCACTCTTAATTATGCGAGCAGCAATTGGATTCAGTTTGATGGCACTCACAAATCAACACCCCCTATCAACGACAGTTGTGCTACCCGATCCAGATAGTTCCTGTACTTGTTTCACCTTCAAATAAGTTGGCATCTGTCTTTAAAATCACTCACTCGCCCTGGAATTGCTACTGATGCAGGTGATCATAGCTTTTGGTGAATATGAGTTGTGGTGGTTGCACCATTTTTACACTAAAAAGCGGTGCAATGCTCGAAGTTCTTGAAAACTCGAGGCGCCAAAATTATCTCACATTTGAGCGCAGAAGCCAGCTGCATCTCATTCCGGAAATTGTAGCTGCCACTTTGCCAATACTTAGTGATATCTTTGATTACGTTGTCGCAGCCTACCAGTGCATCATAACTGGGGCAATATTTTGAAGTCTTTTGTCAGATTTTAAAAAAGTGACCATGTTGCTCGATTGGTTGTTGCTGTTGTGACTGCAAACGATGTGTTGCGCCTTCCCATATTCTTCTTTTTGTTATTTTTCGAACTGACGGATGCCTTAAATAATGTTGAATAAATAGTGCCCATCGAGTTTTCTGGATCGTCAAGATAAACTGAGGTCGTTGACATGCTCGAAGCTCTGTGCCACTCGTAAGAGGTGCAGACACTGACACCCAACCAGAAGAAGGAGTTGAGCGAGAAAGCAGCTCGTGTCCCAAAAATGGTCTAAACCAAGGGAACAGTAATAAAGACAGTAGTATGGTGGGAATGCAGCATGATGGCCATTGCCACTTTGAAGTTCATTCATTGCCAATCTATGAACATTGAGGCTGTAAGCAGGTTGGTTTTTGTACGAATTTTAGCAGAATTTTTAATAGCCGTCACCATGCATCCCACTAGGAACTTGCAATTCTACGATGTGATCGGTACGGGTAATTGCACTGATGTCCCAGAGTTCTCACATACACAATGCACCAATCTCCTCATTTGTCTCTTACAGCAATGAAACATTGGTGGAATTTAAGGCTTATGCTCAATCGCTGAGAGTTTGGGGAACTTTTGAATTTGCAGCATTTCAAGATGCCTTATTTACTACTAGCGTCTTATCTTTGGGAGATTTTGACATCTAAAAGATACCGTCAATTCATCCTCATCGCCCTCCATAGGTGCTCAATTACTGCCCAAAAGACATGAAAGCAGATTTGTGTATCCACTTGAATCGAATGGTCTTCAACGAACACCCAGCCTTTCGTCTCGCCTCTGATGGATGTCTGCGTTCACTGGCAGTCAATTTCAATACCCTTCACACCGCTCCTGGTGACTTGATTTTTCATCAGGGTGAAAGCATTGATCAACTCTGCTTCGTGGTCACAGGATCTTTGGAGGTCATTCAAGACGACGAAATTGTTGCGATTCTTGGTTAGTGCCTCTTTCATCCTAGTTTTTTCTGATCTCTTCATTGCACTACGTGCAAAAATTTTGGCGTTCTGCCATGAATGATGAAGAGCACTTTCTTAACTTCCATGAATCAGACAAGGCACATAATTATGCTGAAAGTAAGTTAAGTTTATCAACAGTCTCACCTTTTTAAATTTTTTGCATTTATTGAAGAACTTTCTTCGATTAGAGGGATCGCACTCGATTTTACATACGCATTCAGTAGAATTCCCTTCAAAAGGCGACGAAAAGGACGTGATTTTAAATAATTCATGCTAAAGCATTGATGGAGCCTCACTTCCTCTTCTCTCCCCTCGTTCCTTGAAGCATTAATAATGCTCATTAAACAAGCTGCTAAAAGTGCAGTATGCACCCATAAAGTTCGCTGTACAAAATTAAGCTAAGTTGTGAAGAGTGAAATAGCACTAATGCCTTCAAATCTCCTTATGGTACTTGACAATAAGCAAAAAACCCTTCGAATATTGCACGCATTGTTCCTACCTGTCCCTCATGCCGTATGGCGGGAACAGGAACTTCTGTAGGGATAGGTCGCAACATGCTGTATTTCTTTTAACTGTAGAACATTTAACCTGCATGACCAGGCTTTGATAAGGGATTTAGGTAAAAGCTGATCATTGAAAAACGTTGAAACTCTCATACCAGCTTGGTAATGCTCCTTCTTCTGTAACGTTGATGAATGAGAACAAGCGCTATTCCGGTCGACTTAAACTACTTTTTGCGTTGAATTTTCCACTGAGAGATGACGTAATGAAATCATAGCTGTTGATGCTTTATCTGAGTTGGATTTTTTGCATTAAAAAGAGGCTGCCTGGGAATTTATTGCGGTGGGTGAATAGTTCCTCCTCTTACAAAGTGGTGGGAACGGTCACGGAAATGACATTTAGTGTTGTTGGTGCCTGAAATCACTACCTGAACCTGTTCATGCGAAAAATTTGAGACCTTTGGCTTATTTTTAAATCTCACTCTGTGCCTATCAGACCAAATCCCCAAACCATGGCGCCTTAATTGCATTTGCATGCAGGTTGGCACGTAGACGGCTATAAATAATCCTTATTTTGCTTAAAAGCAGTTTGAGACTAGAAAGGCATACGCCATTGCCAGCCACGAGGGACAAGTATGCATTTTGCATCACAGTAAATAATGATGAGCTATAAAACAGTAGGCTTTTATCATAGCATCATCACAGCCTTCCTCTTCCATTCCTCTCGACTTCTCCGTGTTTTCCAACTTGCCATGCATCATTTGGAAGAAAGGAAAACGCGAATTTGAAGTTCCGATTTGTTGAGGATTACGGTGAGTTGTCAACTAGAAAGCTCAAAAGATGCCTCGAATGTCTGTGCCCCAATGTGTTCCCTACTGCGATGGAACCTGCTGGCCGCGAATGGGATCATTCAAGAGTGTTCCTTGCAATTCTAATTCCCACTGCAGCTTAGTATTGGAAAAGGCTGTTATTTAGGACTGTCCTGGTTTTACCTCTCCTCTAGCTAATATTTCTGCTAATGCAGTCTAATTTTAGTAGTTTTCATTTCTTTGCTATTAGAATCATCTGCAGTCACAAAGATGAGTAGAATAACTGTTGTAACTTTGGTAAGTGCTTTCTTTACCTCTACAATGTTATAAGCCACCAAGGAGGCACCCAACTCATCGCATGTCGAACCCCTCCGATGCAAATAGTTCAGCCCGAGTTTAATCCCTGAGTTACCATAAAGGCCTATTTGTGATTTGTCCGTGACGAGGAGAGAAAACCCTGTTTGACATTTTGAGAGCGGAATTGTGCTATCTCAAGGTTGCAGAAAGGGAGGAGGATCGGTCAAATCTCATTTTAGTGACCGGTCCATCTCATGTACCGATTTAAAGACTGGCGTGTAGCCTTCCACCAGTCTTTCTCAATTATCCGTTTCTATATCTGACGAGATTCACCACAGAAGATGTGTCAACTTCCCTAGTCAGAGAGTTGTGGCTTTTTCCACGGAGTGAGATGCTGTCAAAGGAGAATGTTCTACCTCCTGTTTTTGAGAGTACCTTTTGCATATGAATACCAACCGCACAAAAGGCCTGCTGCTGGAGGACACAAAGTCCGTTGTCCGCATTTAGTAGGCGTATTTTAAACCACCTCATTAGTTTTAGCATCTTTCTTCATTTCATACCGACGTAGGGGAGCAGATAATTTAATTTTATTTTGCATTATAAGGCATACTCTTCTCCATTTACCCTACTTAAATGAAAATTTCGATATCTTGAGCTCTCTCCTGAGCTTTACCTTAAGACTTTAAGCCAGTCGTTGGTAGGAAACAAATTTGAGGGGCGAGGAGGCGGAGATCTTACAATTAGACAAGAAAATTTAGCAATGATATCCGTAGTGCAAAGTTTGACTGATCAAAAGCCCTCTCTTCAACATTTCTAGGTCGTGGAGATGTTTTTGGCGAGCCATTCTGGAAGGATCCCAACAGAATGAGTCACTCCTCGGCTACAGTTCGCGCTCTCACTTATTGCGACCTGCATTACATAAAAAAAGACCGACTTCTGCATGTTCTTGACTTCTACACAGCTTTTGCTAACAGTTTTGCCCGGAACCTGGTCCTCTCGTACGACCTCAAGACACGAGTAAGCGAACGACCTGAGCTTTTTCATCACTTTACAACTTTGGCTAGACCGAAGGGGTTTCGATATGAACCTCAAAACACAACACCTGAAATAATTCGCATGACTGGCAAAAAAATTAGAGCTTTTGACTGGGCAAAATACACCTCAGAAAACCAGAATGGATGCTTCCTGTCCTGCATTAATTTAGTTGTTAACAAAACTGTTTGTTACACGGAGGTGTCCACATCACCTCGGACTCGGTCAGGATATCATTGTGTGTCCACGATGCAAAGGCATTCTCAGTGCCCTACCACTTAGTTTGCGTTTCCTACCTACTGAAGTACGTTCTTAAACGTTGACTAGATTTCTTTATGCTAAACATAGAGTTCCATCCAAATTTATCGCCGCCGAAATTTTCGAAACGAAATTCTACATTAAGAAGATTTACAATGTTTATTGAAAGGGCTTGGTGATGTAAAACTAACTTTTGTTCTTAATTAAAACATCTAGTTGATATTTCGGAAGTTGGAGGATGTTCGGAGGGAACGTGAGCTAGCAGAGCACAGGACAAATGAAAACTACCTCTCTGAGTTGACAGCTGATCATCCTGTGCGGCGGATGATCCACCGTTTCCGTAAAATCGGCACTGCCAACGCGAATGCGGCGGCAGTGGCGGCTGCAACCTCCACTGGTGGAAGTGGTGGCGGTGGCGGAAGTAACAAAAGCGTAGGTGGAGAGGGCGGTGAGGGCAGTGGAGGAAGTGAAGAACGCTCCAGCCTCGTTCCCGGTGTTGTTGTTGCTCCCCAAAGGCGGAAGTCAATAGGAGGCCTTGAACTCATCGACCCAGCTCCCGAACCCACAACCACTAATTCCGCCAGCATGTGGGCTCGTCTGAAGATTGGTGGTAGCACAGCAAACAGTGGGGGCAATGGTGGTGGATGGGGTGAGAAAAGCGAGGTTTCCGGAGAAACACAGTCCGAAAACCTAACCCACGTTAATCCACCAACGGCTTCGAATAAACCGTCATTGTCAAGTACAGATCTCCAAATGAAGCGTACCCTCCATTCACAAACCATTGCTGAGGTGGACGAATCTATTACAGGGAAGACAATTAAAGCAGAGACGTTGTCACCTGTGATTGAAAAAAAAATTCAGTCTGTATTGGACGCGATCACCTCAATGAGGTTGTCAGTGATTGAAGAGATAACAGCGGTAAATCGAAGAATTGATATGATTGATGATCATCTATTGAAGCTTTACGAAGCAGTTGGAAAGGTGATTGAGAACCAGAAAACACGAACCCATCAGCCTAGCGAGTCCGATGGGACAGAATCTGTTTCCAGTATCCTCCGACTCTTTCGTAAGGGCAGTCCTCCTACTAAGGAGCGTGTACTGCGGAAAACTTATCCCAACTTTGTTGAAATGCAACACCTCCCTTCTTCCCATAACAGACGTTCCACTGTGGCATTGGGGATTTCCAAGAAGGGAAGGGGAGTCAAGTCCTCGAAAGTTGGCCCCACAATGACGGAGACTGAACTAAACCAGACACGTATGGACGACCCCTTGGTATTTCATGACAGATGTGCCAATGATAGAACCTCGGGTTACCTTCGAACTCCAAAAGTCAACCATTCCACTCGTCGATCACCCTCATATGGGGGAAGTCGATTTAATAATCGATCCCCAGTACAGTCCCGAGGTTACGAAGTGCTGCTTGGTTCAGGAGATGGTCTCTCCTCACTTAGCACGCTAGGCGGTGACGATTTAGAGGAAGAGGTGGACTTTCAGGCACGAGCGCAGTCAACAACAGTTCCCTTACAACCCCAACCCTCTCTGTCGCATCTGCCGCCATCAAGGCGTTCTAACAGTGGTAAATCCCTTCACACACAAGAATCTTCTTCACGAAACAGTGACTCTAAACGTGATACTGTGGTCCGCAGCTCTTCAAGCAAGGGTACTGGTACGGAGTACGGAAAGATATCTCTGCTTTAATTGACCTCACCTTTACCCCATCCTCAATTTTTTATGTACTTTTTAAGTGATCTTGCGTGTTAGTGCACAATGAATAATGAACAATTTACACCTGATCTCGAATGCTTTTGGGTTCTACTAAGATAATTACATTCTGTAGTGGGTGAAACGTGGTCCTTTTTTAAGTGGAGGTGAGGTGGTAAGATGCCTTGGAACACCCAGGGAGAGGTGGTGTGACTTGTGCGCTTCTGACCTAATTGGATTTGGGATTTCTTGCATCAACTCAGGGTGTCATCAAGGAAAACTTTAAAGCAGAAGCATACTGTGTTTTGAAGTAGATATTCCGACTACTTTATTTTGACACATCGTTAACAAATAAAACACTCCTATTTGAAGAAGTTTCTAAGCACTCAGACCAATTTTCTGTAGCTGTCGGATACTTTCCTGAATTTGAAAGATGACCAAGAGAATGATAAGTTTTATCTTATGCGTTCATCCTTTTTGCTTGAAGTCCCCTATTTACAAGTAGCAAATGGATGTTAGAACCTCGATCAAATCCCAGTTGGTTGCTAATCGAGTAGGCAATGGTAGGATTCTCCTCTTTTTCGACGTTTTTATTCAATCGGCCCCCATCAGATACGCTGATGACCTGTGTTATAAAGTTGTTTTACCAAACGCTGTTTCGCAACATAGCATAAATCGTTACCTAAGATTCGTGCGTTGATGCAATACATTAGTTTATCGAGATCCGAGTTTTGGAAATGGACAACTCTAGAGCTCCGCTACCAGAGAAAGTAGCCTCCCACCCATGTATTTTAGCCATGGACGTCAAGAATACAGACCCTCTCACCGTATTCAACCTCCATTGTCCGTCAGGGAAGTCACTAAGTATCAGATTTTTCCATAACTAACATGAAAATTAAGCATCAAGTATTTTAAAAAGTAGTTGTAAATAATTGGACAGGTAAAATTTCGGATGTTTACATTTGTTGTAATGGGGTAAAGTTTTACGGGAAGGGAAAATATGGACATGAACCAAGCGATGGAACACATTTTTAGCATTACAGACGCATACACTTCCCCGGTCACATGCGTAGCTTGCTAACCCAAGATTGACAAAAAATTAGGCCTTAGGGTTCAATGCGACTCAGTACCCTTGAAATCACAAACCAGGAAGGAGTGTTTAAACGTAAGTTCTTTTAAAATTAATTTAAAAGCTTTCAAAATTGAACTTAATAGGTTGACTTTAAGGTCCAGATGCTTCCCATTAGATAGAATGCTTTAAGCAAGATTGAATACTTGCATTCAGGGACGAGGGGAGAAAATGGACTTTAGCCTGGACCAAAGACCAGCCTACTCGTGCTAGGGAAAGATGGATACCAAAATGAATGCCCATCATATAGTTAGTCGTATAACCAAGGTAGTACAGTGGCCCATTGAGTTAAGAACGCCATCATTGTGACAAAGCAAATATATCAATTGAAATGGATTTACCTTGGCCTCCGTAACTGGGATAACTAATTTAGTGGAATAAAGCACTTAAATTTTGGTTTGTTACAGCCACACATTAAACACTAAAATCGCATGAGAATTTTGAGAGTTGTAATACTGTGCTGTTTGCCGGTCTTCCAGTTTCGGATACCGCACGACCACCACACCCTTGTTGGGTTAGCAAAGCTTTGTTTATGTGACCACATGACGTTTTGTGGTCGCGTTGCGATGTGACTGGCCCTTGCATTCGGGGACTGGCTTTCGGGCCGTGCTCAGGCCTGGTCACTGTCCTTCAATTACTGCCTTCTTTCTCTCGATGGGAAGTCTCGGGACGCTACAGGACTAGCTTAGAATTGTTCCCTCATTCGTCTTGAACGAAACTACAGGGACCTAAAATAGTTATACGGCCATAAAATTCAAAGTGAGGATATTGTAAACTAACCATCGTCCACATGTGAATGTCATGCTGTTGAGAATCCAAAATTATTTACCATTTACGGTTTTTTGATCAAATCCTAATTGCTAAAAAGTAAGAGGACGTTCTTGCCTAAATAAAGCGCCTACGGTAAAATTAAACACATTAACGACAGAAAAAACACCGGTTTCATATCGATCAACATTTTGATACTGCTGATCGGATAATGGTATGCGAACCTAAAAAAGATGCCATATAGAGTCTTCAATATACAACTTCAAAATGGCAATTATATCAAAAATGCACAAACTAGATTATGAAAATCTCATGAAATTAACTTTTACCAACAGGTAAGATGGCTTGAAAGACGTAGGGTGAATGCACACGAGGTAAAATTCGTTTCTCGCATTATATTCAGGACTGATAAAACTAGGAAATTTTGTTGTATTTGACGTTCTAGGTCATTAGTAAACTATTACAACCGCGCCTAGTTTGTCGTCGCGTTGACTGCTGGTCCTTTTTTGTTGTCTACAGGACCACAGTTAACAAGAGAGTCCACAATGGCAATTACAGCCAAGGTTATTCTTACCCCGCGTTTACCACATTTCCAATAATGTTGTGATGGACGCCTCGAAATTGCTGCAAAGTGGCGTGATTTATAAGTTTGAATGCTCTGGACTTTGGAACAGCTTGAACTGTTTAGTATTTTGGTCCAAATATCGAGGCTTTTTGTCAATTTAGGTAATTATTGGTTTGATTATGGTTTGATTTATCCGTCTAATCATGATTTCTAGCATCTAATTAAAGTTCAATGCAGTATTAAGGCTCGGCTATGGCGATTCCTAGTTTGCCATCATCCACTAGCGCTGGCTACCTGTGTTTTTTTTATATCCCAAAATCTGCTATTTGCTTCTCTCGTCTGGCTTGACTATGCTTGGTTACCAGTTGGATTGAACGACCAACCCACTTTGAGTCAATTTAATTGCCTTAGATATTGTTCACCAATGTCAATTAGATTACTATTTTCTGCTTGTTTCGTAATGTGCCTAGAGAGGACTTGGTTTACCACTCCGTGGCTCATCTTAGCGTTTTGTTGCCAAATCTAGTGACTAAAATCAGTACTTCACGCATTTAATCCCTTTGACACACATTTCATTCATTATTGAAATGTCTTTTGTTCGCTAGTCTCTTCGATTTTCGGGTGAGCATCTTTTACGCTCATGAGGAAATTCGAGCGTTAACTTCCTGTCAGTCACGGAAACCTGGAGGCTAATGTGACGGAAAAAAATGCAGAACTGCAGTAAAAATAGCGGGAGGTTCATGTGAAACTGAGAAGTGCATAATGTTTAAGTCGTGCTATAGTATGACAGCTCAGAAAGGAACGAAGGCTGGTCACCTTGAAAAGCATTTATTGACTTCATTATACTCAATTTTATGCAAACATATAACACCAACTTGCTTTACGAATCATCTGATGTAGAAAATTACCTCCCATTTTTGCGATTTTAAGGTTGGTAAAGAGTTTCTGAGTGGTGACAAGCTGAGTGACTCAAGTTTTAAAACGCAGACCAAAAGGGAAATCAGGAAAGCCACTTTGCGAAAGGGCCACTCAATAAAGCGGACGATCGAGGAAGGTAGGTCAGGTTTTATTCCTCTCTTCTGTTTGCTATTCCTTGTTCGTTTGTTCAACAGACGAAAACCTTACTTGGCATTAATCACTAATACAATTAAACCAACAAATTTTGCGCTTGAATACCATTGTGAACTTGCCTAACTCTCGATCGTCTTTACCACAGGATGACTTCTAGACGTGAGTGTAGATTTGGGAGAGCTTGGGTAAAGTGGACCAAAGGTGAATCTATCTGAAATTCAGCTAAACTGCTGTTAGGTAGCAGCGTTGGCCTAGCGGACGTGAACTCAGCTCGCCAGTTGCGTAAGCATCCTCTCAACTCCACAACACGCAAAAAAAAGAACGCCAGACAATCATCGAAGAAAATAAAAACGGACACTCCCGCTACCGCTGCCACCGATAACAGCGCTTCTGCTGACGGTACCACCACTGCGTCTACTTAGAGCCACTTATTTTCTCTGCCATATTTCGCTGCTATTTGTATTTTATTCAACTGCACCATAACCCCTCATATTGGACCTGTTTTCATGATCCAATTTTTCTGAATGATTGCCTCACCCGTCACACCCACTATTCTCCCATTGTTCGGATTATTGGATGGAAGACGGGAGTACAAAGTAGCATGAGGCGTTATTCAGCTTCAACGTGTAGGATTTAAGTGTCAAATCTTCTAGGAACCTGGTGGTGTTTAGAGGGGTGATTCCACCGCTACCATTCTGCGGTTTTCCGAAGAAGTCCTGCTACGATTTGAGTTTCGACAGATTGTGTTTAAGCCTTTTAGTCGAATGTCATTTCGTTTCCCTTCCTATCATACAGTGACAATGCGCCGTCCAACCCATAATGCTTCAAAAGTTGACACGGACACCACATCAGTATATTCAGTTTGTAGGCGCAGTTGCCTGGAATCGTTTGCGAAAATTTGACCACTGTATTATCGTTAGAAATGCAAGCGATGTGTGGTATGTAGATAAATGGCGAGAGGAGACTTAGGGGGAGAGGAGACTTGGAGAGCTAGAGACAACACACTCCGGATAGAGGGCGAAGAAAGTTTTCGTTGAGACAACATTGCTGTCCATATCGAATCCGAATTGTACTAGAACGCCGCCTAGAAAGATAATTAAAGAGAACATCAGTACTTAAATCAAATTCCCTACTCTGGATAGTGTCAAGCTCCCCCTAACACCAGTGCCTTAGCGTGAATGAACCTGTTTCAACTACACTTAGTGCGCCCGATTTTCGTGATGTAGTCGACAGGTTTCCCACCATGTTCAAAAAGAGATGAACTATATACATTGATGAAACTGTCAGGATTTACTATAGCTTAAAATCTGCAATGTGCACCTACACTTTCGAAATCAAATGAACTACTTTCGTTGCGCATACTAAGAGGAGGAATCTTCTTAACACTTTGTCGAATCGACTGAAAAATCATTCACACTAAGCCGAGGCTCAAGATTCACTGGACTACTTTATGTAACCATCAAA